GGACCCGCCGCACGCATGGCCGCAGCCCCGGGGCGGGCTCGGGCCGGGCTCGGCCCCTTCCGCCCCCGCCCCGACACGCGGTTCCGCCGCCGGGACCGACATGGCGCCGCGCGGCCGCCGGCAGCCCCGCGGAGCGCCGGTACGGGACGGGGACGGGGACGGGGACGGGGACGGGGACGGGAAGGGAAGGGAAGGGAAGGGAAGGGAAGGGAAGGGAGTTGTACGTGTCCCTGCGCCCCGTGTCCCTGCACCCGGTACTGCGGCCCCGGTCTCCATGTGCCGGTGTCCTTAGTGCCAGTGTCCCCAGTGCCCGTATTCCTGGTACGCGTGTCCTGAGTACCCGTGTCCCGGTACCGGAGTCCCCAGTTCCCACAGTCACCAGCACTGGTGGCCCTGCTGCCATGCCAGCAGTGCAGAGCTGCAGTGACCCTGACCCCTCACCACAGTCACGTCCCCCACTGTCCCCAGGTGCCTGTGACCCCACTGCCTGCCTTCCCTACCACTGCTGAGGAGGACGATGGCGCCGATGCTGAGCTGGACACTCAGGCCATGGTGCGGGCCCAGAACCAGAAGAAGAAGAAATCCGGGGGCTTCCAGTCCATGGGTGCGTGTGAGGCACGGGACAACTGTCCCTGGGACGAGGACTGTCCCCTCCTGCCCATGCCCCCTCACTTGTCCCTGTTCCCCTAGGCCTCAGCTACCCTGTCTTCAAGGGCATCATGAAGAAGGGCTACAAGGTGCCCACGCCCATCCAGAGGAAGGTGAGCCTGGGGAGCAGTGGGTCCCTGTCCCAGGGGGTGGCAGTGGGACAGTGATAGTGACGGTGACGGTGGTGTCCCACAGACCATCCCTGCCATCCTGCGTGGCCGGGATGTGGTGGCGATGGCCCGGACGGGCAGTGGGAAGACGGCCTGTTTCCTCATCCCCATGTTCGAGCGGCTGAAGGCGCCCAGCCAGGCCGGGGCACGCGCCCTCATCCTCTCGCCCACCCGGGAGCTGGCCCTGCAGACACTCAAGTTCACCAAGGAGGTACAGCGGACATGGGGGCGAGTGGGAACAATGGGGGCAATGGGTTTGGTTCTACATCCCACCAATATGTTTATTCCTCACCCTGCAGCTGGGCAAGTTCACTGGCTTGAAGACAGCCCTGATCCTGGGAGGAGACAAGTAAGCTGTCCCCATGTCCCCTCCAATCCCTGCTTCCCTGAGCTTCCCCAAAACCTGGTGAGAAGCTGAGCTGCCCAGTGCCACCCCACCCTCTCCCCTCTCTTACAGGATGGAGGACCAGTTTGCTGCCCTGCATGAGAACCCTGACATGTGAGTGGGGCACAGGGAGGGGACCCAGTGGGGAAATGGCCACCAGCCATCTGGGGACATCACTGGTGTTTAGAGCTGGTGTGCCTGATGGGCATTCCTGGTGTTCCCTTGGAGCAACTTCTTGTGGGACAACAGGGTCTCTGTTGTGTCATCTTTGGGTTGGATTTGGGACCTATTCCCAGGATGGTGTGGGGACACTGTGTCCCCCTTGGCCTGCTCCTGTCACCACCTCTGTCCCCACAGAATCATAGCCACCCCTGGGCGCCTGGTGCATGTGGCAGTGGAGATGAAGCTGAAGCTGCACACCGTGGAGTATGTGGTGTTTGACGAGGCCGACAGGTCAGCAGGGGTGTCCCCAGGGCTGGCAGTGTCCCCACACGGGTGAGAGGCCCGGGGAGTGGCAGGGAGGGACCTGCCATGTCCCATATCCCGTCCCCTGCAGGCTCTTTGAGATGGGCTTTGCTGAGCAGCTCCAGGAGATCATCGCCCGGCTCCCAGACTGCCACCAGACCGTGCTGTTCTCCGCCACGCTGCCCAAGCTGCTCGTCGAGTTTGCCCGGGCTGGTGAGGACCTGGGGCAGGTGGCACTGGGGACAGGGACACGGCACAGCCCCACAGCCAGGCCGAGCCCAGCACTGGGAAAACCAGGCTGGATTAATGCTGGGCTAAGTGGGTGTCCCCAGCAGGACACCCCGTGAGTGACCCATGTCCTGTGTGCCACCACAGGCCTCACTGAGCCAATGCTGATCCGCCTGGATGTGGAGTCCAAGCTGAGTGAGCAGCTCAAGGTGAGATGGGGGAGTTCAAGGTGGGCTTTGTGCCCCCTACCCCCTGCAAGCCACCTGCTGCCGAGGAGGGGACGAGGGTGGCAGTGGTGGCACAGGGCTGAGCGCTGCCCTCATGCTGCAGCTGGTGTTCTTCCACGTGCGCGGGGACGACAAACCGGCCGTGCTGCTCCACCTGCTCCGCAGCGTGGTGAAGCCCCAGGACCAGACAGTCGTCTTCGTGGCCACCAAGCACCACACAGAGTATCTGAGGGAGGTAAGTGGCATTTGGGGGTGCCCATGTGGGGTCTGCAGCTGCGGCAGGTCTCTACTGGAATCTCTCCCTCTGTTTCACTGGGTTGAAGGAGAAATCCCAGAATATGTGATCATGGAGGTGCTGCATCCATTCGCCCCTCAGAGAGAGGAGGGAGCACATCAGTGGGATTTGGAGGTGCAGGTGGCCACTCTGGAGTCTCTGGCCCTGTCTCTCTGCTGAGGGCACATCCATTCAATCTCTCTTTTCCCCCTTCTCAGCTGCTGACGGCGCAGGGCATCCGCTGCACCCACATCTACAGCTCTCTGGACCAGACCGCCCGCAAGATCAACATTGCCAAGTTCTCCCAGGGCAAGTGCCCAGTGCTGCTGGTCACCGACGTGGCCGCCCGGGGGCTGGACATCCCCATGCTGGACAATGTCATCAACTTCAGCTTCCCTGCCAAGGGCAAGCTGTTCCTGCATCGTGTTGGTGGGTGCCAGTGCTCACCTGGGTTGTGGTATTGAGGGACAGACTGGGAACAAAGGAGTTTCAGTGTCCCAGCTGGACTGTGAGGGCTCTTGGGGGCAGGACTGGTACCTTCCCAGTAGAGCTTCCCCTTGCCCCTTCCCCAGCCACCCACAGCCCCTTGCCAGCCATGCCTCCATGGTAAATGTCACATGTGTAGACTGCCAGGGACACCAGGGATCCCTTGCCTGGGTGGGGCCAGGCTGGGCATGATTTCCCATTCTCCTTTTTGCCGTGCCAGGTCGCGTGGCCCGAGCTGGCCGGAGTGGCACTGCCTACTCGCTGGTGGCTCCTGATGAGATGCCCTACGTGTTCGACCTCCACCTCTTCCTGGGGCGCCCGCTCATCCTTGCCGGAGCCCAGGAGATGCCTGCGGGTGAGGCGTGGCCGTGTGGCCACTGGGGTGTTCTCCTTGGCCAGTGCTGGAGTTTGTGGTCTTGTGGTGGGCCCTCACACAGATGGGGAAAATGGGGTGTTGGGGGCTGTGATGCACCCTGTGTGTGTGGGATGCTAATTGTGCAGCTCCCTGAAGCTGTCAGCTCTGCTCTGAGAAATGCAGGGTGGCTGCTGGGGAGGTGACACGGCGTGCCCTGGGCTGCAGATGCTGGCGGGGTCCTGGGCCGTGTTCCCCAGAGCCTGGTGGATGACGAGGAATGCCTGCTGCTGACGGACCACGAGGGCTCTCTGGAGCTGTGCAGCCTCCGCCGTGTCGCCGACAACGCCCACAAGCAGTACCTGCGCTCCCGGCCCGGCCCCTCGCCAGAGTCCATCAAGAGGGCCAAGGACCTGGATGTGTCCCAGCTGGGCATGCACCCCCTCTTCAGTGAGTGCTGAGGGGATGCCGAGGGAGGGGACCCCGCTGCCCTCCCCAGGAAACTGATCTGTGCCCTGTCCCTGCCTGCCTTCCCCAGGAGCTCGCTTCGAAGACACCGAGCTGCAGAGGCTGAAGTTGGTGGATAGCATTAAAACCTACAAGTCCAAGGCGGTGAGTTGAGATAATAGGATGGGGATCTGGATGGGATGGGATGCCCATGTGGCTCACTGGGAATGATGCTCCTGCCCTGCGGACAGACCATCTTTGAGATCAATGCCACATCCCGGACACCGGCCAGCACCGTGATGCGATCGAAGCGGCGCCACGACCGTGCCCTGATCGAGAAGTTCCAGCGTGGGCAGCAGGAGAAGCGGGCAGCAGCACTTAAAGGGCAGGGGAAGTGCCCGGCCCCTCCCGAGCCACAGGAAGGGGAAGGAGAGCAGGAAGATCTCCAGGTAATTGGGTCATGGATGCAGGAACTGCTGCAGAGCTGCCTTGGCCTGGTGCTGGCAGCACCAGGGCGCCCAGAGTGCGCTGGGGTTTGGGGGTTGGTGCAGAGACTTGGGGGGATACTGAGGGGACATGGCTCCTGAACCCCTCCACTGTCCCCATCCAGGATGTGTTCTCCAATGTGGGGGGCCAGAAGCGAAAACGGGGCCGAGGAGGAGAAGATGGTCCCAGGAAAAAGCCGCAGCAGCCGGCACAGCAGGCTGAGGATTTCTACATCCCATACCGGCCGAAGGACTTTGAGAGTGAGCGGGGGTAAGTCTGGGGGGGCTCCTGCTGCTGTCCCCCCCCAGCCTGTGTGGGGGCTGCTCTCATCACCCCCCTTGGCAGGCTGAGTGTGGGCGGCGACGGCAGCGCCTTCGAGCAGCAGGCGGCCGGGGCCGTGCTGGATCTCATGGGCGACGAGAACCACAACCTCAACAAGAACAAGCAGCTCCTCAAGTGGTGAGTGGGCTTTGCCCATGGGCTGGAGGGAGAATCAGGGCTGGGGGTGGCACTGCTCGGTCCCACCACCTTTCTGTCTCTGGCAGGGACCGCAAGAAGAAGCGGTTTGTGGGGCAGACAGGCCAAGAGGACAAGAAGAAGGTGCGGACAGAGAGCGGGCGCTACATCAGCAGCTCCTACAAAAACAACCTGTATCCTGCCATGGGCACTG